TGAGATACCATCTTACCCCGAGAAGCAGTGGCAAAGTTTAGCAGGGTATCAGGTAATAAATGCTGGAGAGGATGTGGTGAGATAAGAACTCTTATACATTCTTGGTGGGATTATAAAATGGTGCAACCACTTTGGAAGGCAGTTTGGGCATTTCCTCAAAAAAGATGGACACAGAAATTCTGTTTGACCCAGCTATTTCACTACTTGGAATATCCTCTGAGAAAATGAGAACTGAGCTGTTGTAGAATGGGACTGTCCTTGGGGTTAGGGAGACACTGAGTAAGATGGGTTCAATAATGTATACTGCACTGAAACAGAGGAGGGAGAGAACCGTTTAAAAGAGAGATGTAACTGGGTATTTCTGTCATCACAGGAGACTAGAGCGAGGGCTGCATGGTGGAGGGGACCTGGGGGAGGGTTTGTAAAACAATGAAAGAATCTTTTCTTTTACTTTTCCATAATTTTTGGACTCATGTACTTATAACTTGTTAGTCAAATTTGTGTCTTCTAGGTTGCAACACCCCCATGATACATCTTGAAGGATATGTACATGTACAGCCAAGCACAATCAATAAGAGTGCATCTGAATTCCAAAATCAATCTCCATAATAGTCTATGTGTTTCCTACTGCCAAAGGGGCCCTTTAGAGTAGTGAGAGAAGATCTTCACCCTGAAACCCACAGCGTCCCTTTTCAGCAGGAAGTAGCTAAGAGAATACGCCGTCCCCTTTTCCTTATGACTCAGGGTGAAGTCTCTCTCAGGGAGGAGTGATAGGGAATGGCAAAGGATACACTGACAAAGAAGATTAATCAGAACTGGCTTTGACAAGCACTGTGGCATTTGGACAAGAACAAACTGGGAGGAGGGTAGAGAGAATAGTGCAACAATGAATGAGTGGAAGCCCAAAATCTCTGTAAATGTTTATGAAAATTAATAAAATATAATTATAGAAAAAAAAATGAGAACTGAGACACAAACAAAGACTTGTACATCACCACAGCAAGAACCTGGAAATAGCCCTAATTCCCAACCACAATGGAATAGTTTGAGAAATTATGGTATAGTCACACAGTGGAATACAATGCTGCATGCAGGAGCAATGATTTTGTAAAATACTACCTAACAAGGGATGGACTGGAGAGCATTATGTTAAGTGAACTAACTCAGTCTCATAAAGATAAATACTGTATAGGATCATTGTTGTATAGCATGTATGAGGGTCCAAGGAGGAAAGGGGAGACTTAAACATAGGATAACACAATTTGTGGGTGGAGGGAGGGATTGGTAAAGGAAAGGGGAAAGGTCTGGTGTGAAAAACAATGTATATGAACTTTATGAACTTTGTATATAAATCAGTACAGAATAAAATAAAAAATAAAACCTACAACAAAAAACCCCACTGTCACAGGGAGAAAAGTGCAACAATGAACGAATGGAAATCCAAAATCTCTGTAAACGGTCATTGAAATTAATTTAAAAAAAAAAAAAGAGAGAGAAAAACCCACTGTCTTGAAGGTCAGTTGCATGTACCTCCTGATTTGCATAATACCTCCTTTTTGGTTATTACTCTTTTTATTTTTCATGCACATTATGTTCCACATAGTCCATCATTTACATTATATTTTATTCATTTATATTGTGGGGGCTTCCCCCCCTCCCTTACAATCATCCCATCAACAACTACTTTTGTGAAAGTGTATAAGCCAGCTTCTTCGTGCCTCATGCCTTTTTAGATATCCAATTGCTGATTTGCCCATCCTTAAAGAACCAGTACTCTGAGGAAACAAGCATGTCCATTTCATTGAAGGATCTTTGTTCAACTTGGAGACTTTGAGCACCTGCATCCATAAGTATCATCCAGTCCAGAACAAGCCATTCGGTTGCAGCAATCAACTGTAGTTCACAGTACAGATCATCTTCTCTTCATCTGGTTGCGTTCTCCTCCAAGACTTGAAGTTGGAGCACCCTCACTTGTATTGAAAACTCGGATCCACAAAAGTGGAAGTGGGCAGAATACAATGGAGAAACCGGCTGAGCTTGGATGTGTTCCTTCAGCACTGCCCACCTAGCATACACAAACGTGTGGATGAAAAGGCAAATGTTTTTGGTCAAGGAGCCAAGGAAGTTGTGATGACCCCTGGCCTGTTCACTCAACTTGGCCCCATGTGGGGGATAGAGCTGAGTTAGAAGACCAAGAGGTCTGGACTACAGGGAGAAGTGTGAATTCCTGAGTGTCTAGCTGACGCCCATTTGAACCTACCCAGAAATTCAGGGATGGGATGACCTGAATACCTCCTTCTCTAAGCTAACTGTACCTTTCCCCTCCTAAAAGTACGGAATTAAAAAGAGCTCTTTCTACACCCTTAATCTAACCTACAAATAACTCCCTCAAAACGTCCCTTCTTGGAGACATATTAGGGAAGTCCATATCTCCTGTACACCAGCATATAATAAATCTGTTGGGTTTTTTTTTCTCTTCCAGCCCTTGTATGCAAGATTGAATTTTTATGGTGACAGACTTTAACTTTGCAATGACTGGCAATATTACTATCCACAATAATACCACTAATAGATCAAGTCATTAGAAAATTGAGGTTCTGAGTGATCATGCATTTGGCATTTTTGTACAATTTTCTGAGGCTTAAAAGTTTAGGAAAGGGGAGAATAGGTGGCAGAATCCCAGTCCAGGTCTCCCACCACGCTGCCACGGGTCTCAGCAGCTTGGGCAGTGGGTAGAGAGGCAGTGGCCTGGTATCTCAGCTTCACAAAGACCGTCTATGCACCACTTCCCACAGGCACCCTGCACATGCCCTCCTTGTTGCCAAGATGCCGAAGAGGTAAGTCAGCTTGGTGGAAGGGATGGTGAAGGATGCAGCCAAGAGATCAGCAAGGCTATCAGATCAACTACCTGCATAAGTGGAAACAAAGCTGAAAAAGGCTGACAAAAAAGTGCAAACAAAAGGAAAATCAGGAGTAAAAGGAAAACAGGCTGAAGTAGCTGAGAAATAAAATTTATCTGCAGAAAGCAGAGAGATGAAATATGAAGAGAGAAAGCATAGTCTGATTAATATCTGTCCCCCATGTTCCTGTACCTCTCTTCTTGTACCATTCAGGGGAATATTTCTATCAACTATTTTATAACTCCAAGGTTTTTAGTTCAGGTCTTTTGTTCACATTGTCACTATGAGTTGTCTATGACTTGATGGCACTTAACAACATCATCGAGAGAGCTCAGTTGGCCTAGTGGACAGAAAGCAATGCTATCAAGCCAAAGGTAGGTGATTTTAATCTGTGGCCCCCAGGCCTGGTTGTAATCATTTTTGGTTAAACATTCTTCTAAGTGGTCTAGCACTGGTCTGTTGATTTTCTGTACAGAGGTAACTCCTGGTTACTGTGCTGCTGAACACTGTGACAATGATGTGTGTCAAATGCGATAATGGTTACTCATGGTAGACAGTGCATGGGGGGAACTCCTTGATTAAAACAAGCTTGGAGGCAGGAGTGGCCTTCATCCACTTATGAAACAGCTTGACTCTGGAAACCCTATGAACTTAGAGAAACGATGAAAGTTATACAAGTGCTCAGATCTTTCGTTCATAGGCTCACTATGAGTCGTCTACGACTCAATGGCTCTTAACAGCAACAACAGGAACATTTATAAGAAGGAAATCCAACTTAATTTCATTTTGAAGTAAATGACTTTTTTTTTAAGAGGTGAGATCATTTCCTGGTTGTACAAAACCAGGAAATGTGAGATGTTAAAACTGGGGTGGGGGCTTTGGGTGTCAGTGTAACATTCCATGGAGTAGAGGGACAGATTTATATCTCACAATAAGGAGCATATGTAAAGACAATTTGGAGTCATACTCATGCACTTATGACTTAAACATTTTAAATTAAGTCTAGTTTTCTTTTTTTTGCATAAATGAGAACATTAGTTAGTAAAACATCTTCTTACAGATAGCCACTCCCTCCTCATGGCTTTCTCCCTGCCAGAACTATGCAGATTTTGTAAAATTTTTGGTCTTGGTAGCTCAGTTTTTCTAATAACTATGTTGTGTGTTATGAATGGTAGTGTGTGATGGTAAATTGTGAATTAGGGTGACTAAATGAGGTGACAGTTTATCAACAATTGAAGGTATTTATTTTCTTCTTAATGAAGATCTTCCTCCATATGTAAAGCTGGAAAGTTACTGGAGTTTAGAAAAGAATTATAACTACATTTTTTATATGTAGTACAAAAATGAAGCATTGTGTAGAGGTAGTTCATAATATTTCTGTATTGGCCCTTAAAACCACCAATAAAATACCAATCATGACAGCTGTTATTTCTGTTCATTTCTGTCGAGTTCAGCCCAACTCATAGCAACCCTATGAACAAAAGACCTGAAGCCTTTTTTTTAACTAATATAATTTCTCCAAGTTCATAGAGTTTTCCGAAGCATGTAGTTCAGGAAGTGGTTGCCACTCCTGCTTCCAAATCTGTATTAAACTGAGAGCACCACCAAACACTGTCCATCCACCATAGGCAACCACTATGGTGTTTGACACCCCAATGGCACAGGGTTCAGTATCAAAGCAAACCCAGATTACCTAGGTTACCTGACAGAAGAGTGCTGTATGACTTAGAAAAATGTTCCTTCAAAATATGAGGCCCTCGGGCCCTCCAGGATGTCTGCTGACACTAAACAAGAGGCTTAAATCACAAAACAACCAGACATTCCACCTGACCCTCAACCAGAACAATCTTACAGATTCCTGCTGTGTCACCCAGTCACCAAAATGGAGACGAGGGGCTCACCATAAAAATCATGAAAGAAATCATGAAAGAAGGGAAAAAATGAAGGTTTAGGAAAGCTAAATGAATTTTTAAATATTTGAATTTTTTTTTTTTAGTAGAACAAAACCACACAGGGACTTTATTATTCCCAGTACGGGACAGGTCTTCCAGCGGCGGCAGGAGGTGGCTGTGGGGCAGGGCTGTAGAGACAGGGGTGGCCCTACTTGCTGGCGATGAGGGGGTTCCTGAGGACCACGATGATCGAGTCCCCACACAGGAACATCTTAGAGATGTAGCAGTCCTTGTTGACGGGTTTGGACTTCTTCTTGCCCTTGCCACTCTTGGGGACCTCGGTCCACATCTCCTTCACATTCTCCAGCACCATGTTGCAGTGCCTGTCAAAGGCCTTGATGTTGTTCAGGAGCTTCTAGTTGTTGCGACAGTTGATGAGCACTTGCGTGTTGTTCTTGACTGACTGTGTGAGCATGGAGAGCGGGCCTGTGTTAAACTCCTCCTCCTCTCGCTTCTGCAGCTCCTCCGGGGTCATCTCACTCTTGGGCTTGTTGAGGAGGCTCATGGTGCTGGCTGTGGTCTCGAATCACACCCATCTAAATATTTGAAATTTTAAAAACCATATGAAGAAAAGACAGATTTGATGCATTGAAAATTGATTGGAGACCAGATTAGCTGTGGGATGACATCAAGTATATCATCTATGAAGAAGGCAAAAGGTCATTAAAAAGACAGGAAAGAAAATACAAGAATGGGTGTCAGAAAAAAAGACTGAAACTTGCACTGCAGTATAAAACAATGGGAAGAAATGCTGATATAATATGAAAAGAAGATTTCAAAGGGCAGCTCAAGATGACAAAAGAAAGTCTTGATACAAAATGTGCAAAGACCTGGTGTTAGAAAACTAACAGAAACTTTGGATTTCTAGTCCTTCATTGTTGCACTATAATAATGACACAAAAAAAACCCCAAAAAACCAAAAACCAAACAAAAAACAAACACACCAACAAAAAAACCCCAAAAAGAAAATCAACAGAGAGGAACACGCATGGTATTTCTCAAGCATAAAGAACTGAAGAATCCAAGCTTTGAGGCACAATTCTGAAATACTGTATGGGGAAAAAGAAAAACTCTTAAAAAGGTTTCATTGGAACTAGGGAGATCATTGCTGATACCAGATGAATCTTGGCTTTAAGCAGAGAATACCAGAAAGATGTTTACTTATGTTCTATTGACTATGCAAAGACATTTGATTGTGTAGATAATAGCAAATTACAGCTAGTCTTGAGAAGAATGGGAACAAATAACTAAGTATGGATAACATAATAATATATAATTATGAGGTGATGGGAAAGGCCACACTACTTAATAGCAGTCATGAGACATCCATAGAGAGACCAAGAAGCAGTTGTTTAAGCAGAACATGAGGATATTGTATGTTTTAAAATCAGGAAAGGTATGCATTAAGATTTACCCAGATCTATTTAGCCTATATACTGGGAGCATTATTAGAGAAGCTGGAGTATATGAAAAACATGACATCAGGATTGGAGGAAGACTCACCAACCTGGGGTATGCTGATGACAACATTTCTGGCAGAAAGTAAAGAACACTGGAAGCATTTACTGGAAAAGATTAAAGACTACAGCTTTCAATATGGATTACATCTTATAAAAAACAATTGGTCGGCACGGAAATATTTCAGGAAGTAGCATGCGAAAAGGGACCAATAATTAGGAAAGAAGACATCTAAACTCCATTAAAGACATTGGCAAAAACAAACAACAAACAAACAAACACAACCACAAGGCCTCAGGAATTGATGGATTACCAATTGAGGTGTTTCAACAAACAAATGCAACCCTGATCAGGCTCACAGTCTATGCCAAGAAGCTTCGAAGACAGCTACCTGACAAAGATCCTATTTGTTTCCATTTCTAAAAAAGGTGATCCAACAGAATGTGGAAATAAATCAAATGCAGTATATATGTTAATTAGCATAGCACACATGTAAAATATAGTTGTTAATTATTAAAGTAAGTTAGAATATGACATCACCAGCAAATTTCCATAAATTCAAGGTTAATTCAGAAGAGATATGGAGGCTATCATTGTGCTGATGAATTTATTCATCAAATGAAGTTATTGAAGTTGCCAATTTCGATCTTTTCTCTATCATGATGTTGCTCTTGATCCAGTGCTGAGGAATTCTGGTTTCTTGATGTTGAGGTGTAATCCATTTGGAGGCTGTAGTCTTTGATCTCACTCAGTAAGTACTTGCAGTTTTCTTTACTTTCTGCCAGCAAGTTTGTGTCATCTGCATAACCCAGGTTGTTGATGTGTCTTCCTCCAATCCTAATGCCACATTCTTCTTGATATAGTCCAGCTCCTCGTATAACGTTCGCAGCATATAGACTAATGTGGGAAAAGCACAATGCTGATGCATATCATTCCTGGTGTTTCATGCAGTGTTGTCATGTTCTGTTTAGGCAAGTGCTTCTTGGTCTATGTATAGGTTACTCATGAGCACATTTAAGTGATCTAGAATTCTCTTTCTTCTCAAGGTATATAAATGTTTACATGTTGTTACTGCTGTGCCATTGAGTCTGAATCAACCCATAGCTGACACTCTGGAGGGTTTTTTGGGGCAGCTAGTTGCATGGGAGCAGACTACCCACCGTTCTCTTACAGAGCAGCTGATGGATTCAAACCAGATGGCTTCTGGATTGCAGTACAGCTTCTTGCCACTATGCTACCAGAGCTCCCAGTGTGTGTGTGTGTATATATTTATATGTGTATAAATTTATATGTGTCTTATTTATATGTGTGCATACATATATTTCCTATTACCATACAAATATCACAAAATATGTATATGATCTATATGAGGAAATCTACAAAACTCCAATGAAAGAAATCAAAGAAGCTCCAAGCAAAGGGAAAGATATTCCATGTTCATGGATGGTAAATGTAAACACACAATGCTAAGTGAAACAAAGCAGTCTGAAAAGGTTACTTACTGTATGTTTCCAATTTTAGGATATTTTAGAAAAGGCAAAACTAATCAACGGTTTGCCATGAGTTTGAGATGTAGAAGGGAGGGGTGAATAAGAGATGCCAGGGCATTTTTAGGGCAATGAAATGATTCTGAATGATTCAACAATAAAACCCAGGAGGCCCAGAACTCTCAGAACCACCTTTGGCAGGATGGAATCGCACTATTTTTACTACATTATCAGTTGTTAGTGGAAAATATTTGAGTTTCTTTCTCTGACAGGTTTTCAAATCCTTTACTGTATAATGGCGAATAAATAACTATGAATACATAAAAATTTATAGAATCTGCATGAGGGTGATGCTTACTGTATATTATAGATTTTAGTTAAAATGCTATCAACATTAGTTCATAAATTTTTACCAAGTAAACTGCACTAATGCAAAACGTTATTAACGGGAAAATGGGGAAGAGGAAAAGTATAGGAAGTACTTTGCATTTCCTGCTCAATCCCAAACTACTCTAGTAACATCTATTAATCAAAAACATTTGCATCAAGATAGAAATGATTGTAGAAAAGTTTTCATTAATAGCAAAGCCTATTATTTAAAAATATTTGTATCAAGTCAGAAATTTCGCCCTAACTTATGCAACTGAATGTCAGAAGGGACAAAGAATTAAAGAATATACTTCACCTGTCTATTTTTACTTCAGGCAAAAGATGCTGAGATTCTGGTTATGGGCATGTCTGAAAGAAGATTTATTCTCTAGAGTTTAGAACTTGGGTCTTTAGATTCTTAAAGATTTCTTTTCATGTATTCCAGGAAAGGCCTAGTGATACACCCAGGACTTGCTGTTCCTTTGAAACTAAACTAGTATTTCCTATTTGAGATCTCATAACGGCTTCCGCTTACCTGCTGTTGTCATGTGCACCTGAGTTGGAACCAACTCACAGCTGACCCTCCAGCAGGTTTTCAAAGGTTTTAAGCACGCAGAAGGAGACTGCTCATCTTCCTCCCACAGAGCAGCTGATGCTACCTCTGGTTTGGCAGCTCAACTCCTTTCTGTTAGGCCACCAGAATTCACGTATCCTAAGGGCGTTCCCTATCCTGTATCTCAGGTACACAGTTTCAGACTAAAGCTTAACATTGATCACTTTAAGTAAGTTTAATCATCATGCAGAGGAGGTTCTTAGGAAAACAAAGTCATTGTGTAAAATCAAGACCCACAGAAGCTTTCAGAGGCAAGGAAGGCTTTGGACTTGAAATGAATTATGCAGGATTGATAGAGGTAGTTGGCAGCAGAGCTCTGGAACAGCAGGGAGACCCACAATTCCCTGCTCTGGAACCTTTCGTTCAAGGAATCAGGAGAGTAACGGACTTCTAGAGGAGTAGGGGAAGGGTGACAGAGACTGAACAGAGACAGAAGGGTCATTTTTTTTCTTTTCTTGGAGTCTGATTCTAGGTCAGCCGACTGGCTAGACTTCTGCAAGCTTCCTCTACTTGGTATATTCCTCTGTGAAGATAACAGCAGCTCAACTAAGGACTTAACATTGCTGTTGGATAAACGCTGGGCAGTGCGGCTGCTCTTGAAGGAAGAGAGCACGAACAGGAGAGGGAAGAGACAGAATAAAAAGCAGGTGACATCATGTAGTTCTCAGTAACAGGAGCAGCATCTTTCTGGAGCAGCTTTGAACTCTGGCCAAGTAACAGGATCCCTGACCGACATCTGGGTTCCAGAAGGACTCCTCCAGGACAGAGGTCCAGGATCACGTGCTGTTTCCCAACGGCCATGACAATGACATCCCCAGCTGGCTCCTTTGGCTCTCTTCTGTCCCTTCTTCTGCGACATCAGGTGGTCATGAGAAAAGCGTGGAGTGATTTTTCACTGAGGAGTTGCCAGGGGTATGAGAAGTTGGGGTTTTCCGCTCTAAGGCTGCATATCATCATATTGCTCACGGGGCCTCTTCTTCAAGGGCTGCATGGTAAGCAGGAACCTCTTTATTATGAAACAGTAATCCCTAGGAACCTGGTGATGTTCCGAGAACTTGAACAAAAATCAGAAAAAGTATCTTACATCCTTATAATAAAAGGAAAACGGCATATTCTTAACTTGAAGCAAAAGAAGGGATTGTTTGTTAAGAACTTCCCTGTCTATACGCAACAAAAGGGGAAAGTAGTCTTGGACATGCCTTTCATACAGGACGACTGCTACTACGATGGGTACTCAGAGGGTGACACAAATTCTCTGGTGACAATCAGCACTTGCTCGGGACTAAACGGAATCCTGACCTTACGTGGCACAGTCTTTGGTATCAAGCCTATATATGCTTCAAATAAATTTGAGCATCTGGTATACAGAATATTTCTAAATTCAAGTGGGTCCTGTGAAGTCAGAGAAGAACAGGAAGAACTCTTAAGCAATTCACACGCTCAGAGCAGACTAGAAACCTCAGTCCCTACGGCCATGTGGTCCTCTCATAAGTATGTAGAAATGTTTATTGTCGTTGACAACAAGCGGTTCCAACTGTGGAATAATAATGTGACCAAGACAACACAGATGGTAATGGATGTCCACGCTCTGGTCAACAGGTACATGAAAGAGCTAAATGTGAAAGTAGTGCTTACTGGGTTAGAGATCTGGACAGAGAACAACTTAGTGCAAGTCCCTCTCAATCTGCAGGATATGCTTCAAAATTTTAACCAATGGAGAATCTGGCATCTTTCACAAAGGGTGAAGCATGATGTTGCTCACATGATTACTGGTCAAAACCTTGGAAAGGACCAGGGATATTCCTTTATCAGTGGCGTTTGTACTGAAAAGATGGCAACAAGTGTTGAAGCTTTCTCTCATGAAGATATAATCCATTTGGCAGCTCTCATGGCTCATGAACTTGGCCACAACCTGGGAATGAAGCATGACCACACGGCTTGCAAGTGCTATGGCCAGGACCTCTGTACCATGCATGAATTTATTACTGTTGATAGGGGCTTCAGCAACTGCAGCTTCCACTACTTCTACCAGCTGCTGCATAAGCACAGAGGGGACTGCCTGTTTAACAAACCTGAGCTCCGAAGCTCCTTTGGAAAGTCCTATTGTGGGAATAAGATAGTGGATCACGGAGAAGAATGTGACTGTGGCAATGCCCTTGACTGTCGGAAGGATCATTGCTGCTTGCCTTCATGTAAGCTAAAGAGAGGCTCAGATTGTGCATATGGATCTTGCTGCAAAAACTGCAAATTTCTACAGGCTTCCACCCTCTGCCGCCCCAGTGTGGATGAGTGTGACCTCCCAGAGTACTGTAATGGCACCTCCAAGTGGTGCCAGGCGGATACCTACAAGCAAGATGGCACCCCCTGCAAAATACAAGGTTACTGTTACCAGGGCCAGTGCAGGAGCCTTAAGAATCAGTGTGTTAAAATCTTTGGACAGGGCACTAGAGTGGCCCCAGAAAATTGTTATCATTATGTGAATACCAAAGGAGATAAGTTTGGAAATTGTGGCAGTGAGTCTAAAGGGATATTTAAGGTCTTCCGCAAGTGTGAGGCCAAAGATGTCAAATGTGGGAGGCTGCTGTGTGAAAACATCCAAAGGCTCCCACGTGTTGATGAGCATCACACCCTTATCCAGTTCTCTGTGGAGGGCACATGGTGCTGGGGTGCAGAGTCTTCTAAGGCAACAAGTAAGGGAGATGAGGGAGATGTGCAGGATGGGACTCCATGTGGTCCACAGAAGATCTGCATCAATCAAACCTGTTTAGACACCTCTGTGCTCCTTCACTCCGACTGCAACCTGGAAAAATGTCATGGAAGGGGTGTTTGCAACAATTTAAAAAACTGCCACTGTGTGTATGGCTACAGCCCCCCGACGTGTGAATCTGAAGGTTTTGGGGGCAGTCTGGACAGTGGCCCAGCTCCACGTGTCCCTTTTGACTTGAACTATGGCAAAATGCTGAAAATCTTCATCTGGCTCTTGCCTATCTTTTTACTTTTCTTGATTCCTTCTATTTTTTTGCTTGTCTACAGTAATAGGAAATATAAGACTAATGTCAGGGCAAAAAATTCATCAGAGTAGTAAGATGAATTATTTTGACAAAATTTTATAACTAACTTCTTTATGGCAATAAAGTCAAGTATGAAATTATACTGAAAGGACCTTTTAAATATTGAACTCCTTAGTGCTGGTGTTCCACAAGGACAAGAGGGACATTCTGTTTGTTTTTTATATATGCTAAATGTGTGTTAGTTTCTTTTGTGTGTGTGTGTGTGTTAGTTTCTAAACATAAATAAACTCCCTAGGTGAGACAACCTTTCTTATTCTGTGCTATACAGTAATCAGCTCTTTGGAGGTCAATGAGATGCCTCAAGATATGATTTTTTAAAAATTTTATTTTATTTTATTATTTTTGTGTGAGTGTACCGTCAAATCAGATCTGACTGGTACAGGAGGAGATTGTCCCTCCTTCCCCGGCAGAGCATCTGGTGGATTTGAACCGTGCGCCTCTGGGATTGTAGTTGCAGCTCCTTGCCACTAGGCCACCAGAGCTCCCCTTCAAGATATGATTATGACAAAGCAAAGTGCCATGTTACTCTCCATACCAGGGCTGATGTCCAGGACTGAAAACTTAGAGTTTTTATGGAGCTCCTAAACCTATTTATAGAGAGCTCCTTTGGAAAAGTCTCTAGGATTTAGTTATGCTAGTATTCCCATGTCAAAGTCTGCTGTTAGGGACCTCTCCAAAGTACTGAAGAGCAATGGTGTCTCTCTGGAGACTAAGGTGCATCTGATACAAGTCATGTTCTTTGCTATCACTTGTTATGCATCAGAGAGTTGGACAGTGACGAAGGAGGATAGAAGGAGAACTGATGCCTTTGAGCTGTGGTGCTGGAGAAGAGTACTGAGAATACCATGGACTGCTAGGAAAGCAAACAGATTCATCCTGGAAAGGGTTAAACCGAGCAGCTCCTTGGAGACAAGGATTCTGAGGTTTCATCTAGCATACTTTGGATATGTGGTAAGGAGGGACCGGTCCTTGGAGAGGGACATCATGCTTAGTAGGGTGGAGGGACGGCGCAGGAGGGGAAGGCCCTCTATGAGGTGGATTGATTCAGTGACTGGGGTAATTGGGATGGTGTATCAGAGACACTGTGACTGGCACAGGACAGAGCAGAGTTTAGGGCTGTTGTACATAGGGTCGCTATGAGTCGCAAGCGACTTGACGGCACATAACAACAACAGCAGCAGTATTCCCATTATGTTGGCCTAGTGGCAAGTAGTTGCACTGTAATCCCAAAAGTCCGCGGTTCGAGGCCACCAGCTGCTCCACAGGAGAAGGCCGGGCAATCTGAAAACCCACTGGGGGGTCAGCTATGGGTTGGTTCCGACTCTGTGGTACACAACAACAAGTTACCCCCATTAGCCTCCACTACGACCCTGTCATTCTCTCCAACCTTGAGGACTTTGCTTTGGAAACTCAGGTTAGTCAGGTCCATCCCCTTGTCCATCTGATTTGCACTTTGGTCGACATCTCAGAATGAGGTACACTATCCTAGGTTGGTTTTGTTTAAAACTTAACTGCAAGGACAATTACCACTTAGGAGGTAATCTAAGATAAAGAAACAGATTATGAGGGCAAGGGATGGTTAGGGAGAAAAGTGCAACAATGAATGACTAGAAACCCTAAATCTCTGTAAACTTTCATTAAAATTAACTTTTTTAAAAAGGAAAAAAACAGATTAGATATTTCTATTCCTAACTGAGATTCTTAGCCTGGAAAGCTCTTCCTCAAAATGTTCAAATCATACTTACTGTTCGGTCACTTACTCCTTGATTCACTCTATACACGTCTGTATCTACTAGTGACTATTAGATTGAACCATGTGAAATTGATATTGAACCCTTCTAACTTAGAAGAATTCAAAGTTACTATGGGTCAACCTCAAAATTATCACTGTCCAGACAATATAAAGCCTCAAACTTTTGCCAGTGAATTATGGCGGAAAGCTATTGATTCCTAGAGTTTCTAATCTCTCAGTGCTGATTTTGTTTGGATCTTGTCCTTAATTTTCTACAGCAGATGCTCCCTACTGTTTAATTCCTGAAACACTAAACAGACAGGATACTAGCATACAGTATCTGAGAAGTCCACTGTTACTTTTTTGATAGCTACTGTCCTTGTTTCTTCAAAGTTTCCCAAGCTCTATAAAGAACATAAACTCATTACTTTCTAGGCCCAACCTTAGAAAAAGTGATAGCAGACCTGAGAAAGTTGAATGCTTCCTTCCAGCCACTTTTTTTGCAACCAGAGTAGAGAACTTGAAAATGACACATACAAAAATTACCTGAAATTTATTTTTGTTGTGTTTAAACAAATCTATTATTACTGAGGTATTATGAATCTATTAGACGGGAGGCTGCTTGATCTCTTCACAGAGATGATTTTAAAGATCACTAATGAATCTGGGAATAACCAGAGAGATCCTGTCCAATTCACCCAGAATAGCTACTGACCACAGCAATCTACTCCCTTCTAGTTCCATAGTTTATGGAATGCTTACAGAAGACTTAAGATGTATTTCTCCCAAGTTTCTTCCAGTCCAGTTGTGCAGAATCACTTCAGTTCCTCAGTATTCAGTATTAGTTTTAAAGTACACTGGAGCTGGTGGCAGCAAAAGCACAGGTGGGCTGCAATGGTTCCAGCCCTTTGCTATACAATCTCTTCTGTGAACACAGTAGTGGTGTCTGGGTGTCGGCATCACGGTGAGCCTCCTGCTTTAGCTGGTGGAACTTGTGCTGTGTCCAGCCATACACTCCACAGTTGAGCAGCCCCTGGGATGCTGCAGTTAGAGCCTGGAGGAAATGAAGGCATGAAGGAACCCCCCCACTCCCCTTTAAGGTTTCAGAGAATCAGGGAGCAGTTCCCATTCTCCTAATTTAAAAAGTGCTGTTACATTTCCTCTATTCAGATATCCCAATCCAGTATTAGGGGTTTTTAATTTATTTCTACTTCTTCCTGAACTCACTCTTCATACCATACCTTGTCATAGATGACTAAAAGTTGGTCATATTTCCTATTAAAAATATAATACAGATACATACAGAATACACACATACAATACAAACTAACTTCAATGCTCTCTACATTTCCCCACTTTATAGTTAATTTTTCCATTCATTTCACTCTGGATGAGAAAGAATGACATTATTCTGTATTTTGTAAGTACATATCCTAATAGTGTCTTAACTTTTCCTGCCTGACCCTTAAAATCACACCAGTAAAACGAAGAAAACTCAATACATAAGCCCTGTAATGCTAGAGAAGCACCTTGACAAAAACATCTGTCCTATCTGGAAGGACATTTTCATGACAGTTGAATGTTTTTGTCCTCTGAAATTAAGAAAGAAATACTTTGGAGCAAATTAATTTTGCCTACTTAGTGAAAGAAATGTAAGAGATTAGGAGGGAAAGGCTTAAGACTAGAGATGCTAGATGTTAAAGGTGTTACCTGGAGAACATAGAAAGCGTTGTGAAGCTTGGTGTCCTGTGGTTTGGTCAGCTTGATAATCATCAGAATGGCAGCTGTGAACACAAAGCATAAATGCTTCTGTCAGCTCCAACGGCCCAGAACATGTGATTCCAAAGTACACGGGCCTAAATACTATTATTAAGCAATTACACAAAAGGAAAGTCCTATGTACAATTTAAGGCTAGTAGTTTACAGTGTGTAACACTGGACAATGGGCCTCATATTTTTAGTCCCTGAATAAACTCTGCAGATTATTAATGTGGTAAAAGCAACAAGATATTCTGTATATTGCTGTTACTGTTGTGTACCATCAAGTCAGAAATGACCTATAGCTGACCCTCCAGTGGGTTTTGAGAGACAGTAAATCACATGGGAGAAGACCGTCCATCCTTCTCCCAGAGCAGCTGGTGGATTTGAACCATGTGCCTTTTAGATTGCAGCACAAAAAGATACTAATTTACAATTATTATTTTAGGGTTCACAAACATTATACCATCAGATTCTCACTACAACCCAATATATTAGAAGGGCAGAAATTGACATATGTGTACTTTATCCAGGACCTTTTTCCTCTCATGAAATGACAGAGAGCTCTGGTGGCCTAGTCCTCAGAGTGCTGCTATGTCAGCCCAAAGGCAGCCTCTGTTTGGGAGCTTGATTCCAACAGCAGCTCCATGAAAGAGCTGGGCACTCTCCTGTGCTTTCACAGCCTCCAAAACCTTGCTGGAGGCTCAGCTGTGAGTTGGTTCCAACTCGACAACAGCCATGGAAGCAACATAAGCATCACTCAGCTGACATACACTGTGGTGACTAACGTGTTGGTGTGATATGGGAAACTACGCCACTGGTTTTTAAAGGAACAAGTCACTCAGTTGTTTCAACAAAGAGATATAGCCCTGGATGTGCTTATTTGTCTATGTCAAGAAATCTGGAAGACAGACACCTGGCCAACAAACTGGAAGAGACTGTATTTGTGCCTATTGCAAATTAAAAGGTGACCCAGTATAATTCGGAAAATGGAAAACAATATAACAAATACCACATACAAGTAGAATATTGCTGAAAAAACATTTTAAAATGGCTGGAGCAGTAAATTTACATGGAATTTCCAGAAATTCAAATTGGGTATCATTGCTGATTCAGATGGATATTGGCTGAAAGCAACAAATAACAGAGCTGTTTCCTTGTATTGTATTGATGACACAAAGTCAGTCATCTGTGTAGATAGTAGAAATCATATAGAACATTGAGAAGCATGGGAATTCTGAATACTTAATTATGATCATACAGAACCTGTGGATGAGCTAAAAAGAGATACTATCTGATTAGAATCATGAAAGGTGTGTGTACCAGGGTGATATACATTCAGCACACATATTCACTCTTGTAAAATAATATGAGGACAATTTGAGAAGCTCTAGTAAATTAAGATGAATGTGACAACCTGATTAGAGGAAGACTCAGTAATAACCTTGCTAAATGAAGGTTAAGAGTACTTGAAGCATTTACTGAAGAAGATCAAAGACTATACAGCTTTCAGTATAGATTACACCGCAGTGAGGAGCTGAGTTGCCATCCCAAAGGCACTCAGTTCGAATCCACCAGCTGTTCTGCCAGAGAAAGATGGGAAATCTCCTTCTGTATGATATACTGCCTCTGAAAACTCGCTAGAGGGTGGCCTATGAGTCAGTTCTAGCTGACGCCTTTGAATTATGGTATTGGCCATGAACATAAACTGCCAAAAAGACAACCAAATCTATCATGGAAGAAATGCAGCCAGGGGCCCCTTTGAAACAACTGTGAGACTTTGTCAAGGAGAGGCTGATCTCTGAAGAAAGATATCATGCTTGGCAAACAGGATTCCAGTGAAAGAGAAGATCCTCAAGCAGGTGGACTGGCATAGTGAGTGCAAAAAAATGGCCTCAAACACAGAAGATATTGTGAGGATGGTACAGAATTGCACAGGGTTTAAATGTGCTGTAAACAGTGTTGCTTTGAGTAGGAACTGACACTAGGCATGAATAAGACCTATAATGGAATAAAAAGAATGAAAGAAGAGAACAGACAATAGGGAAGGATAAGGAATACTTATAATCTGGATAGGAATTTGTAGTCATCCTTCTTGGTGACTTTGCCTGGCCAAAACCAACTTGTTAATGTTTCCTCTACTCAGCATGTCAGCATTCCCCATTAAGATACTCACCTGGGCCCCAGCAGCAAAGGAAGGCTACTGGGTAGAAACGCACTCGCTGTTCCACAATATGAACCACTGTCCACTGTTCACTCCCCATAAAGCCAGTGGATTTCATAAACCTCTTATACAGTGTCTGGGCTTGAACAAGTAGGACCTGGATAAGGGTGTAGGAAAGAGCAAAGTCCTTTATGTCAGACTTGATAAAATTCCCAAGGTCCCTTTCCTTTATTGTATAAGAAAAATTATTCTCTTTGGATTGCACAGTAAGAAAGACATTCTCTTGTTTTCACCTTCTGAAATAAGGGTTTTGTTGAGAGAAAATTATCTTCAGGGAGAATGTTTAGTTGGCTAGGGAAAACAGATAAAAGCCACTTTTGTGCTTTTATCTATGTTCAATACTTGACCCTTATACCAACTCTAAGGTTCCCTTTTACCCTTAACCTAAAGCTAATTACACAACATTCATGAGATGCGAAAACTAAGATCTAACATGATTTTCTTTGAAGACATTCTATAAGAAACTGTGCTGTAAAGTGCTCTATGCTTAACATTACTAAAATAAGTATTTCAGAATCATGGTTAAATTTAAATTCTTAGCTCTGAGAAAAATAAAACAAAGTCTTATAAAGTCTCATCTTGCCCCTGGGTGGTAAACAGATTGGATTAGGTTTAGTGAAAAACACCACCACAGAAGACATTGTAGAGAACCACAGAATATATACAGTAAGTATCATTTTAAAGTGTAAATTTAAAAGAAATGCTATGGTAGCAAAATAAGTAAAACCTATGGGCTGAATTTGGTTTTCAGGCAGATGGTTTACGATTCTTTTTTTTTTTGGTTTACAATTCTTGAACTAAGAATACGTGAGGAAAGGAGAAACTGATATTTAAATGTAGACATGATAAATTTTTGTATTTATTTGTGTATTGGCTTTGTATGAGGCCAAAACCACCCTTTATTAGTAGATTCCAACTGATGTTGACACTGTAAGGTAGATCAGAGCTGCCACAGAAGGCTCTTGATTGTAAATCTTTACAGAAACGACTACCTTATCTTTTTTTTCGGGACCAACTCATAGAGTCAGACTACCATCCTTCTGAGTGGCAGTCCAACACTTCATCCACTGTGACATAGAGCATGTAATCAAGTCAGAACTGACTCAGAGCTAACCCTGCACTGGGAGTTCAGAGGCTGTAAAAACACTGGAGGATACTACTCATGCTTCTCGCAAGGGCTCACTGGTGGATCTGAACCATTTGCCTTTGCACTGGCACAAGGTCTAACTACTAGGGCCACCAAGCTTCCTCCTTTTGTACCAGATAGTTGGATAGAAATAACTCGCTTCCCCATTTCTTTTACTTGTTCATCATTCTGGTGAAAGTGCTCGCTCAGCTATGGAATTACATGAGTCACTTAGCACCCCAGATACATATAGCATAAATATAAACTTAGGGTCAATGAAGAATTCAGAAAAGATAATTCTATCATTACTGGGAAATTAAAGCATACAGCTTTTGTTTGGTGTTGCCATCTATCCAAAGAATATGCATGACATATGCTGGTTTTCTGGTCTGGTCCTCTATACTGATCATAACAATATGCACCGTTGTAGAGGGGCACATTGATCACATAAGAACACAGCTTTTTTTTTCTTCTCGTCACTCAATTTGATCTTTGAAGGCTTAAACACTGAGGTAGCAATTAAATTGTCAAGGTATCCTAGTTGATTTAGTTCTAGGCCGTAAGAAATGTCTTTTAGGGAGCTGTGGTGGCCTAGTGGCAAGAAGCTGCACAGCAATCCCAGAGGTACACAGTAGAAATCTACCAGATGCTCTGCTGGAGAAGGAGGGGCAATCTCCTCCTGTACCAGTCAGATCCAATTTGACACAAACAAAAAATGAGAAATTATTTTTTCTAAAAGAAAGAAACGTCTTTCTGTCCTATCATTCCAAGTTATCCCAAGCCTTGGGAATACCACTCCCGTCTTCCTCCTCTTCGCCAAAACAAGTTAAGGAGCATCATACCACAATAGTCAAGAGGCTGAACAGAAAGCTGGCCAGGAAAATGGTGACTCCATAGAAATAAAGTGTTCTACAGACAGATGTGCTGGCAGACGGCAGGAGTTCAGCCATGGCAGATGGCGGGGAAAGCATCAGAATACACCTAAGAAGAGAATAACACACATAAACAGAGCTACAGAAAGACCAGACAGGTAGACCCCTTCCCCCCATTTTACTGAGGATAGTGTGCACACAGTCCTCCACTAACAAATTATGCAGTCTAGTTTTTTGCATTTTGGGAAATCACAGGAGTCAGCACATCTGGACTGCAATGGATGAGCCTTGAGCTGGGAAAACTACCTCAATTATGACGGTATTTCCTCTGGATATACTTTTGAACCAAAATTTGACCTTGAGTCTATACCATTCAAATTTCAAAACCATCTCAGGAACAGATTTGAGACCATGAACACTAATGAGCAAAGACCAGATGAGCTGTGGGAGGATATCAAGAATATCATCCAGGAAGAATGCAACAGGTCATATAGACAGAGGAAGAAGGAAAGACCAAGATGGATGTCAGACGAGACTCTAATATTGCATCGAAAAGCCAAAGCAAAGGGATGAACTCAAGAAATTAAGGAGATGGACAGAAGATTTCAAAGGGCATCACGGGAAGACAAAGTAAAATAATGAAATGTTCAAAGAGCTGGAGTCAGAAAATCAAAAGGGCTGAACTCACTTGGCATTTCTTAAACTGAAGAACAAATTTAAGCCTCAAGCTGCAATACTTAATGATGCTTGGGCAGAATATTAAATGATCCAGAAAGCATTAAAAGAAGATGGAAGGAGTATACAGAGTCACTGTACCAAAACTGGCTGACCCCGAAGAATTTCATGAAACAATGTATGAGCAAGAGCCTGTGGAAAAGAAGAAAGAAGTTCAAGCTGCTCTGAAGGAAATGGCAAAAAACAAGGCCCCAGGAATTGATGGGATACCAATTGACATATTTCAACAGACAGATGCTACTCTGCATGGTCTTACCATGTTGTGCCAAGAAATCTGGAGGACAACTACCTGGCCCACTGACTGGAAGAGATCTGCACTTGTTCTCATTCCAAAAAAAGGTGACCCAACAGAGTGTGGAAATTATGGAACAATATAATTAATATCACAGACAAGCAAGATTCTGCCAGAAATTATCCAAAAATGTCTGGAACAGTATGTCAACAGAGAACTGCCAGATGTGCAGGCTGGGTTTAGTAGAGGTCATGGTACTAGGGATATTATAGCTAATGTTAGATGAATCTTGCCTGAAAACAGAGAATAGGAGATGAATGTTTATCTGTGTTTCGCTGACTATGCAAAGGCATTTGACTGTGTGGATCACAATAAATTGTGGATCACAACAAATTCTGAGAAGAATGGGAAACCCAGAACACTTGATTGTGCTTATGTGAAACCTATACTTAGACCAGGAGGCAGTCGTCAGAACAAAGCAAGGAAACACTGCATGGTTTAAAATTGAGACGGTTATACTCCAAGGATATGTCCTATCTCCATATTTTTTTCAATCTATATGCAGAACAGATCATCCAAGAGGCTGGGCTGATTGAGGAGGAATGTAGCATTAGGATTAGAGGAAGACTCATCAACAATCTACATTATGCAGGTGACACAAGCCTGCTTGCTGAAACTGAGAAAGATCTGAAGCATTTGATGCAGAAGGTGAAGAAATGCAGTCTTAAATATGGATTTAACCTCAACATCAAGAAAACAAAGATTCTCAGCCCTGGGCTCACTGGCAGCATCATGATAGATGGTGAAGAGATTGAGATTGTTAACAGCTTTAGTTTGCTTGGTTCCACAATCAACACTCTTAGTACCAGCAGCCAGAAAATTAAAAAGACGAATTGCATTGGGAAAGTCTGCTGTCAGGAACCTAAAGAGCAATGATGTCAATCTGGAGACTAAAGTGTGCCTGATCCAGGCCATGGTCTTTGCAATTATGTGCTATGAATCAGGAAGGTGGACAATGACTAGGGATGATAGAAGGAGAATTGATGCTTTTGAGGTATGGTGTTGGAGAAGAGTAAACCAGGGACTGATAAGAGAATAAACAGGTTCATCCTGGAGAGGGTGAAATCAGGCTGCTCCTTGGAGGTAAGGATTCTGAAGCTTCGTATGACATAATCTGGGCATGCTGCAAGGACGCACCAGTCCTTGGAGAAAGATGTCATGTTTGGAAGGGTGGAGGGACAGTGCAGGAGAGGAAGACCATCGATGAGATGGATTGATTTAGTCACTGGGGTAATGGGGTAGTTGTCAGAGACATTAAGGTTGACTCAGGATAGAGCAGAGCTCAGAGCTGTCGTACACAGGGTCACTATGAGTTGCAGGTGACTTGATGGCACATAACAACAACAATATACTTTTAAAAAACACTTTTTATTATTATTCACAGGTTTATAGTTTGACATGATCAATAGGCTATTTACAAATAAGGAGATCTCCAGTGATACATATTAAATTGGCAAGCCTATCAGTTTGAAATCTAAATGAAAACCAAGAATTATTACGGCATCTTTGACCTTACACAGATATACTTGTATCTCCCATGTTAATCCCTGCCCACTTTTCCTTGCTCCTCCCCACAGCTGTATCCTCCTCTAGCATCTTTGTGTTACATTCCTACTCATGTGTTTTCAGCTTTGATAATAATACCTTGCTCTATTGCATATTTCCAATAGAAATACTTTGACAAGAATTCAGAGAAAGACTTTGTCAACTCTTATGTAGGTAAAAAAGGATGTAGTTTACAATGAAGATGACAGGTTTGGTGCTTGCTTACCTGTGGCTCTGACTGAAGTTACGGAAGCATTCACTAATATTGCCCAGGCAGAATACAGGTATCATCAGTAGTAGAGGTATCAAACTGAAGGAGAAACCAAAATACTCCTTAACATTTACCTTAACATTCCAACTTTTCCATGCATTTTTCCTTGGCAGAGTATTTTCCTGGTTTTCCTTAGCTCCATTACCCTATCAATTTCTGCAAATGTACACACGTGCAATTTCCCAAGATTAATGAAACCCAGGTAGAGATTTATAGAGACCCTCTATAAACTGTTGTGCAGTCAGATCAAAATCCAAGTGGGTCAAAGCAGAAGGAAAAATCTACTAAAATGTCTGTTTCACTTTGTATCTTGAGCTTCATTCTCTTCAGTACTTGTCTAAGAGCTTTTACAAAGCAGAGCTTCAAAGAGCCAGCTATTAATCTGACTAAATAGAGACAGCTTTCTAGAAGATGACAAGATCGAGCAGTAAAAGTTACAAAGTCTGATTTGAACGCACCTCATTCTAGGTGTGATTCAGCCCCTTTCTGGGCATCATAACTATAAGGGACCCAGAAAGTGCTACTCAGGTGAGTGAGATCTTAAAGGTCATTTATTACAGCACTTCCCAACTTGGAGAGCTCCAAAGACTTAAGGGATTTTGTTTAAGGTGACAAAGAGTTGATGGTAAAATTAGGGCTAAAGTACAAATCTGTAACATCAAAATTCCCTCGTATTCCAATTGGGAATATGGAAACTGTGGCCACATATTTGTTCTTCCTACTCAGAAGGCTCTAGGTCTGTGAGAATCTAGGAGTGATGGGCTTAATGTAAATAAAGGGCATTGTCCTCTCTGTTCCCACCTGGAAACAAGAGTAATGAGAGGCAACAACCTCCTAGCAAGGAAGTAAAATAACTTACCTTGACATAAGGACGGCCATCTGATTAACTCGACAAGTATAATCTATTACCTATGAAAAGAATAAATGTGAATAATGCCTTAGGATATTGCCAATCACAGAACAGTAAATACCAGGTCATTAGCACTCAATAGAAAAGATTATGAAACAGTTACTTAGCACTGTAAATAACAAGACTTTAGCACTTTCACTCAAAGGAGAGCAGCCCAAAGAGAGTCTATAAGAAGTAGCTTAATGTAAGACCTGTATAGAGAACACAGTATCTAAGGCAGAAAGGCAAACATAAATTCACACTGACCCTTCATACTTGGCTCAGTCCACTTCTCTATTAGATAGAACACGTTGTGGCTTTCATCAGATTTTGTAAGTGAATGAAAGTCTGTGCATAAGATGACTAGCACAAAATGTAACAGATCAGAATTAATGTGATAAATCAGGGTCAAAAAGCCTCCTGGATATAAGATCTGTTGGATAATATAAGAAAAAAATTCCTCTTGCATTAAATATTGTAAAAGAGCTTGTTGTTAGGGTGGTCAAGTCAATCATGATTCACAGAGACCCTGTGAACAACCAACTGCAGCCCGCACCATCCTCACTGTCCCTGCCGAGCTCAATCCATCCCACGCAAAGCTTTACTCTTTTCTTTTGATCCTTGGCTTTTCCAAACATGATGCCATTTTCAAGGATGAGTGTGTTTCCTGACAACATGCCCAAAACATGTGAGACAAAATTTCAGCATTCTTTTGCATCTAAAGTGTACCCCAGTTGCACTTCTTCCATAACAGACCTGTTTCCTCTTTGGGCAGTTCATGGGATATTCAAGACTCTCTGCCAGCACCACAATTCAAAATCATCAATTCTTCTTCAGTCTTCCTTATTTATTGTTCACCATTCCCAGGCTTATGAAACACCTGAAAATATTACAGCTTTGGCCTGGAGCACTTAAAACTTTAAACTGACATCCTTTCTCTTTAGCACTTTAAAAAGATCTCTGACAGCAGTTTCCCCAATATAATAAATCTTCTGCTTCTCGACTGTTCCTGAGTGTTGACTGAAAATCGTAAGAAAATGAAATCACTGACAACCTTAATCTTTCAATAGAAAGAAGCTGAATATGAACTATGAGGGTTCATTTGTCCTTCTCTCTTCTTTTTCCTTCAAAGACTAATTTGTTCTGCCATGAACTTATGCCTCAGAAAATATTTTCCCATGATGTACCTGTCCATGGTTGCAGGTATCAAAAGGGTACCTTCTTTAGGTATGACTCTGCGTAAATAACCTTTTCCAAGTCCTCAGTTTATGAATGAATGAATGAATACATAAATGAACAAAAAATTGCTTAAATACCACTCTTAAAATAACATTAAACATTGTAGATATTCGCCTGCTTGAAACACGAGGGGGAAACTTCCTGACTGTTTCTTAGTAGTATTTTCCAGTTCCAGGATATTAGACTTATCCAGATAAATTCATAAAAGGATAGATATTCACAAGTCATAACCATCCAAGTTTAAAACACAGAAGGGCAATTGCGAGGATGGAATCTTCAGAAGCAAGAAAGAAAAAAGGAATGTTATAGAATAGGTGTCATAAAACACCATATCCACTAGCTGAAAGTGGCTAGTTAAATTACTATTGAACAGAAATAAAACTCAGTTCCTTATTCATATCAGCATTATTTCAAGCTTTCAGAAGCACTTGAAATGGACAGTGCGTAAGATATTTTTATCATTTTGGAAAAAGCTATTTTGAAGAACGGTTACTCAGGATGAGAATTAGGAAGCCTTTTAATATTAATGTTTGTCAATGATTTCCGATTTGCTTCCCTCTTTGCAATAAGAAAAGTTTTCAAACTATTCTCTAATCCTATCTTTCTTGAACAGTGAGTGAGATCTAGAATAAGGACAGAAAAAGTAAGAATATCTACCCACGATCTCAAGATTATTAATATTTCATATCATCACAGTATTTTAGAGCTGGAAGGGATATTAAAGATCACTTAAGCCAAATATGAAAATTTGAGGCCCAAGGAAAGGAAATGATATACAGATAAGTTACAGAAGTGGGTCTAGAAGACAGATATCCCTATTCATTATATGCTTTTTTAGGATGTTACAGTATGTTGCAACATGCAAATTACTCCCAACACAAGAAACTGACAAGTGTTGTATCCCTAAAAGCAAACCTGAATTTAAAATAATATCAAGAATAGGTTGGAGGCATGGAAGAAAATAACTGAAGTCTGATCAAAGACTGGAAGACATCAAGGATATTACCCAGGAAAAAAAGCAAAAGATCATTACAAAGATAGAGGAGAAAGAAAAGGCCAAAATATATGTCAATGGTTCAAAGCTACCAGACGCTTTGCTGGAGAAGGAGGGGCTATCTCCTTCTGTACCAGCCTGATCCTATTTGACGGTACACACACAACAGATAGTAAAAAAAAAAAAAAAAAGGAAAAAAAAGAAAAAGATGTTAAAAAGACTTGGAGACAAAATGGGACCAAGCTTAGAAGGACTAGTCTACGGTTTAAAGAGACTTCCAAATACTCCCAGAAATGCACAATATGGAGAAAATAAAAGTGATGACAAATCTCTGTGCTCATAAAAAACTTTTTCCAACTGGGTTAAAAGAAAGCCTACTGATTGAGAACAAACATTTAGCAATACCGTTTCAGAAAAGTGTCTCATAATACAAGTTTACAGAATACTCCCAGACCTCCACAAGAAAAAGACTGATAACTAAATTACAAAATGGACAAAAGACATGGAAAGAATTTTCAGAGGACGACATTCAGGTGGCAAACAGAAACATGAAGAAATACTCAAAATCACTGGCAATAAGAGAGATGCAAATCAAAACCACATGAGATACCGTCTCATCCCAGTAGCAGTGGCAAAGTTTAGTAGGGAAGCAAACAATAAATGTTGGAGAGGATGCAGAGAGGTGGGAACTCTCACACGCTGTTGGTGGGGTTGTAAAATGGTGCAACAACTCTGGAAGACAGTTTGGTGTTTCCTTAAAAAGTTGAACATAGAAATGACACATGACCCACTACTAGGAATATACCCCAAGGAACTTAGAACTGAGACACAAATGGAGATTTGTACAGCAATGTTCACAGCAACATTATTCATGATCAAAAGAACATGGAAACAACCCAAATGTCTAACCATAACCAAATGTATTGGGAAATTATGAACAGTCACACAATGGAATTTTATGCAGCACGCAGGAGCAACAATTTTGAAAACTACTAGATAACTTGGGAGAGGCTGGAGAGCATTACGCTGAGTGAACTAAAGCAGTCTCATAAGGACAAATACTTGCACACCCATGTTTATTGCAGCTTTGTTCACAATAGCAAGGAGTTGGAAACAACCTAAGTGCCCATCAACAAACGAATGGCT